GGCTGTACTCGATAGTTGACAAGGAACAGGGCTTGACTGCTTACATGTAGCGTACCAATTGGCATGCCCATCGTACGTAACTAAACTTTTTCTTAACGGAATAAGTGCTTAATACTTAATCTTTTACGTCCAAATTGCAGATCCAAGTCTCAAATATCGTTCTTGACCATAAAATTTCCAACTTTATGGTCTTGCATGGCTAGAAAGTGCTAAATGCTAGAAACCCTAATCTCTTAACCCATTGAGACTATCAAGCACATACATGGGGAAGAATTAAGATCCAAGACCCTATTTTTATGCTTCTAAACTTCTCAAAATTGTCTGAAAGGACAGTTCAAATGGGCTGGAGCATGCCATACTCAAAAAGGTTAAGACTTGGGACCAAAATTCTCATGAATCAAGAACTTAGCAATATCTAAGGAATTACAAGCCCATTTTAAAGTTTTATACCTCTTTGAGGTTGATAGATAGAAGAAGATCCATGATCCAAAGCTCATTTAAGCTTCCACGGTGGTTCTACTTTCAGTTTTCTCCTTCGTGACCACTAAAAACATACACAAGGGTCAAGAATGCTCAAACAAGTACCTAGGGTTTGCTAAGATCCTATGGAGGTGTTGGAGGATGATGAGAGATGAGGGTTGGAAGCCATAAAGTTGGTTAAATAGGGTCCAAACCCTAAAAATTAGGGTTTGTGGCTCAAACACATATGTCCCGCGTACGCTAGGTAGGCCCAACGTATGTGAGCCCGCCTCAATAATTAAAAAAATGCCACTATGGCCATTTTGCAAGCTTTCTCATACACAAGGGCTAAAATGCAATAACTCTGCATACTTAGGGTTAAAATTGAAAATATCTCATCATTGGAATGTTACAACATCTCTCTCTCTCTCCCTCTCTCTCTCCCTCTCACTTTCTCTCTCTCCCTCTCACTTTCTCTCTCTCTCCCTCTCTCTCTCTCTCTCTCTCTCTCTCTCTCTCCTTCCTTAAAAAAATTCTACTCTTTAATTGATGATTGGTTTGGCGCTTTCAGGGTTGGAATATGAGTAATTCTTATTTGATCTATTTCTCTTCCATCATCTCCATTCCAATGTAACTTTCTCTCAATCCAGAAACCAAAAAGTCCTAAATGGTAATCGCCTTCTCTCCATCTATCTCTCTGTCTATTTGTTTTGTTTGTCATATGTTCATTAGGAGATGATATGTTTCTCTCAATCCAGAAACCAAACAGTCCTAAATTGATCTGTTTCTCTTCCATCATCTCCATTCCAATGATGTTGAACATGCAAGGTTTTCATCATGTCATATGTAGAATTGTAGTGAAGAAAATAGTACAAATTTGGTTTTATGTCACTTCATCTTTACTTCAGTTGAAGAAGAAAAATTGCATGATCAGATGTTAATCATATTTCCTTTCCAGATACATGTATTTTTCATGTAGTAAGAGCCAATTTGGCATTCTAGATCCTTCTTTTCTTGAGATGGATTATGATGGCAGGCCAGATGAGCGGAGTTTCAACTTTGGCATGGTCTTTAGCGGTAAACAGATCTGATCATATCACCATGAAGATTCATGTTATATTTTATCCATAATCTGATTCCACATTTTTGGCTGTAAATCTATCTAATGAGACTATACGTCAAAACCTTTTCTTACAACAGTCATAAATATTTGAGACAATTGAACACTTGGTTACGAAATGCAAACAAAAAAGGGAGAGATATCGGGAGATGTATGGTGGGAGAGAGCATTGGAAATTGCAATGGAGGCTCAGGCATGGATGTTAAATGTCGCTGCACTGGTTAGTTTCCTGCTGGTTTTGCCTTTGTTGTTAATTTGATTCTATGTCTATCGCAAAAAGTACACTAACAGATGCTAAACAACAGAGTAGGCGAGGACATCATTGGACTGAACTTCTCATAAATGTTACAAATCGTCGATTATCACAAGTGATGGATTCTACGCAAAGTGTAGGTTTTCCAAAAATACCCTCACTTACATATGGCAATAAAAAAATATCAAAATGGCCAACAATTTGGCTTTTGGATATAACTTCAAATAGTCCGAAACATGTTTAAACGAAACCATCCATAATCTCGATAAATAACATCCAACGATCTAAATTCTTGAATGTTTGGCTACAACAATACTAATATGAAACTTATTAAAAATTGATGTGTCTAAAATATGCAAGTGCAAGTGTCGTCACGATTCAGGTTTGGAATTAAAGTAGAGCAACAGAAATTATCTATGGTATTTTGAAGCCTGGAATCTATAGAATTTGAATTGAGTCAAGTTCCTAATTTTATCAAGTCAAAATGTATACCGTGGATTTGAAGCACCAAACATATATTTTTACTTTCTTTGATTTTTTCTTTCATGTCTATATTTGAATTTTATCAACATTCATCCTGTAAGTATTTAGATTTCTCAAGATTATGATGCGTGGTCACCCTTTAGTTTCTTTCGGTTTTTGATTTTGGAATCAAAACATCAGTTTTCATTTTTCCATTAAAGCTTTGATTTTGGTTATGGTTTGATTTAGTTTTAGGCACTGACATAGAGTTTTATTTTATTTTATTATTTTTTTTTAAATATCGATAAGATGTTATATTTGACCATCCAGGGACAAAAATTGTCATAGAATGTCAAAATAAGGATCACTATATTTGCTATTTAGGTTAACATTACAGGTCCGAAACTAACCAACAACACAATCTTTTTGAAACCCGGTTCTCTTGAATCACGTTGAAAAGGAAAAATAAAAGTGCTCTTTTATGAAATATTTTTCATATTATTTATTATTTTATATTAATAAATTCAATGTAGGGTAATAAACCGGGAAACAACGAATAAATCGGGAAAAAACTAATAAGTCGGGGAAGCAAACTTTAATATGTCAAAAATGGTTTCTTTAAAGAAACTGGAAATATGACTGGTTTTATGAAGAAAAAAGGCATCGTTTTTTAGATAAAATATTAAAAATTTAGTAATTTTTGTTAAAGTTTCCCTTTTACTTATTCAAATTTTTGTTAAAACATAAACCAAACCTTTTTTTTTGTATTATTTAAAAGTGAGTAAATTTGTTATTTAAACCATTGAAATCGATATGTTGTTAAATATACTAAACTATTTGCATAAAAGCTAATCGTCTTTATAAACTAATTTCTGAAAAAAATTATTAGCACTCGTCCCTTAGTGTCTTTAGAAACTAATTTCTGAAAAAAATTATTAGCACTCGTCCCTTAGTGTATGTAAAATGGTTAGCATATATATATATATATCTATATATATATATATATATATATATCTATATATATATATATATATATATATATATATATTACAGCTCCACCTAAGTTTAGGTACTAAACCTCTTGAAAATATATTGTTTTACTATATAAATATTACGGTTAATGGATTCACGGTTAATACTTGAAGATGTAAATTCAAGATCGACACAATAGGGTTTAGGGTTTAGGGTTTAGATTTAGGGTTTAGGGTTTAGGGTTATGATTTAGGGTTTAGGGTTTACTATTGTTCACTTGAATGAAGTAATAAACGTTAATTGAGGAAAGAAAACAGAGATGGTAAACGATAATGAAAGAAAGAAATGTTATGGAGGATGATATATTTACCAAGTGAAACCAAACCGGGCATATTTAGCATGTTAAAACGACATATTTTAGAGGTTTAGTACCTAAACTTAGATGGGGCTGTAATGTATATTTCCTATATTATATATATTATATATATATATATATATATATATATATATATATATATATATATATATATATATATATATGACACAGTGTCCCAGAACAATCTGATAGAATCATCGCTCGATTTTCTTTTGACACCTAATTCACATCATATTGATAGTATTCGTAATTAATTTCTAGACTAGCTCGACTTGACTTCTAGCTAGTAATAGTTGCTTTTTATTTTATACTTATTTTACACATTAAATACAAACATAACTGAATGAATGTAGTGAAATTGTGGAATAATATAGTTTGCCGATTTCTAGGCATGTGAGATAAGTTTTAACATGATAGTCTTACAAGCTTAAAATTATGCTCATCTTTAGAATATTAGTTGAGTTTTAAATCATAATTGATTATTCTACACATGTTTGTTTTTTAAGAACATTTAGGAAAGTGTTTTCCATACACCTAGGGTCCCTAACCTGTGTTATTTAGGCGGATGGGATGTTAGAATTTGGATTTATCGGGTAAATGGTGATCAAAAGGCTGTTTATCGTGGCATCATAAAGGCCTTGTATTTGAGCCGACGATGAAGTCTATGAAAAAAAAGAGGAGTTGGTAGCATTGGAGGCAGAGGATAGGTTGGAAGCGATGGATCAGCAAGTATAAAGTAAGACGCTTAAGGCTAGCAAGATGAAGACTATGTAGAGGAGTATATTGTTGTCAGTTGTCATTCTGCAAGTACCTGAGTATTTGAGACCTTCTGGAAGCCATTGCTTGATGGTGGACAACGGTAGTTGGTGGCGAAGGTGCTCCGACGGATATGCGAATGGAAGACACATGCTTTTTATAGAATGTGATATGATAGATTATAAAGAGACGGAACTAGATATGAATACTCACATTACCATATTGATATGTGAGTTTATATATATATATATATATATATATATATATATATATATATATATATATATATATATATATATATATATATATATATTATTTTTTTATGAAATTTGTTTTAATGATCTACTAGTTATGTATGAGCCCCCAACATGTTAAATTTATGTTTGATGCCAAAATATATAAGGTGAACTGTAAGAATTAAGAAATTTTTTGTATGAAAATAACTTTGCAGGCTTTTCTCTTCATACAAAAAACATGATTAAACTTTATATTTTAAAACTATTACTATTAAACATTACAAGCTTTTCAAACAAAAAATATCATTGCGATTTGATGTTGATTTGGTACTTTTCACAGAATTGAACATCTCTTAAAAAATACGGTCAAACAGATGACTCAATACGTACATAAGTTCTGCAAATAGGGCAAGTGGAATGTGTGATTAACCACTTATCAACACACTCACAATGATAACAATGGCGACAACTATGCAACACCTTTACCTTCTCTCCTTCTTCAAAAGCTCCAAGACATATACTACATTCTGACGTCTCATTTGTCTCTGGAGAATTCAAAACTGTTAGATTTTGATGGTAAATTGTGATCGGAAGGCTGTTGATCGTGGCAACATCAAGGCCCTGTGTCTGAGCCGATGACGAGTTCTGTGATAAGGAGGAGGAGTTGGTGGTGTTGGGGGCAGAGGATAAGTTTGAAGGGATGGAGCAGCAAGTGTATATTAAAACTGTTAAGGCTAGAAAGATGACGACTATGTAGAGGAGTATGTTGTTGTCATATAGGCTGTCATCGTGCAAGTACTGGAGTATCTGAGACCCTTTCGAAGCCATTGCTTTATAGTGGACAACGGTATGTGGTAACGACAGTGCTCCACGGATATGGCGACGGAACTTACATGCGTTTGAAAGGATGTGATATGATAGATTATAAAGAGACAGAACGAGATAGGAACAATTGCATTACTAGATTGATATGTGAGTTTACATTTGACCATGAAATCAAACATTTCAAAATATATTATTTGAACTATGTTCGAGCAGTTAGGTACGAGTCCCTGACATGTTAAATTTATGTTCGATGCCAAAATATATTATTTGAACTATAAAAAAAAAATTATGCGAGAATATCTTACCAGACTTTTCTATTCATACAAAAAACATGATTAAACTTTATACTTTATAAATGTCACTATTAAATATTATAATCTCTTCAAACAAAAAATATCATTGGGATTTGATGTTGATTTTTTATTTTTTATTGAATTGTACATCTTTTAAAAAGAAAAATGACTTATATAGGAAAGTAATAAAGTTTGTTCTTTATATAAAGATTACCATTAATTTTTTGTTGAGTTCGACATCTCTTTCTATATATATCTATCTGTCCATTTCTTATTATATTATAAAAACAAAAAATGACAAATAATCAATGTATGTGTCTTAATATGCTTAGTGGTGATAACTCTCTAACATATGGTTTGGCTAAATCCATGGGATTGGTATGTCTGATGCACAAGTTGTGCGAGTATGGAATTACCAAATTGCCGTAGTGAACTACCAAATTACAAAATTACCAAGTAAATAAAATTCAGTCATTGGTGTCAATTCCTTGCAGATTGCAGCTTCCCATTTAGGTATCGTTTTAGATAAACTTAAAGACATGCCTGATAGGGAAAGTGTTCTTAGAACAAAAGACTGTTTGACATGCAAATTTCTATCTTCTTCTCTTCCATATGTATTAGTAAGAACCATAATTTTAATGTTTAAATTTAAAGTTTCATGATTTTGGTTATAAATATTGTTATTTGGTTTTAGGTAGGATTGTAAGTGGTTTTATTTTGGATAATTGTAAACAAATGCAAACTACCATTCCATACAACATAAATCTATATATTTATTTACATGTTAAGGTTACTTCTTATGAGGCGTTGAAAGAAGTAACAAAATACAAGAGACAAAAGTGGTCGCTAAATCAAGTTACCATTTCAATAGTTTTTTTTTGAGAGCTTATATTGGGAGGAATATATGGGAGTTTGTTGTATTAGTGTTAGGTAAATGGGCCTTAACATATATCTTAAATTGGAGATGTTGTTTTCTTAAAGGGATTGATGATATGATGAAAAAGTTAATGAATTACATTCATTAAGCATTGGAATGATTATTTATATTTTGACATACTATATATTGTGAAATGGATTGTCTTTTTTGTATGATATGTTTCTTTGTATTAGGAGACATTAATTTTCATTTAATTTAAAAATTCGTGTGTGTGTGTCTGTGTGTGTGTGTATATTGTCACAGGAATTGTTACAGGATTTGATGGATTTCATTCCCCCTCAACCGGAGAGGTGGAAGTCATGTTTGAAGAGTCTTCAAATATTGAAGGATCATAGTCTTCGGTATGTTGTAATTGCGCAGAAGTTGAGGTTAAGACTTCGGAAAATCTTGTAGTTTTGGAGGATCGAAGAGTGTTTCATAGATGACTTCTACGATGTTGAGAGGTCCGGATTCAATTGGTATGTCATTCTCCATGATAAACTTTGTTTCATTGAGAGGAGTGGTCTTCCGGACATGGAAATCATCAAGTTTCACGTCAAAGATTTCTTCTATGTTTCTTGTTCTTCGAATTAGAACTTTGTATGCTACTTTGTTTGTTGAATTTTCCAAAAATATTCCTTCTTCCGATTTGGGTGCAAATTTGTTCAGATGCTCTTTGTTGTTGACTACAAAACACCTACAACAAAAAAATGTGAAAGAAATGAACATTTGATTTACGATTGTTCAAACCTTCATATGGAGTCTTGTTGAGTCATTTGTTGATGATGCTCTGGTTTTGTACAAAGCATGATGTTGAGAGTGCTTATGCCCAAAAGTAGAGAGGCAAATTTGCAAAGTTGAGCATTAACCTAGCAGCTTCTACTATAGTTCTATTTCTTCTTTGTACGACGCCATTCTGTTGTGGTGTGTAAGGAGCTGAGAAGTTATGATTAATGCCTTTCTACGACGCCATTCATATGGAGTCTTGTTCAGTTCCGTTGTCACTTCGGATTCTTCGAATGGGATGGTTGATTTGTAATTCAATTTCCTTGCGATGTTTCTGATTTTAGTCTTAAGAAAAACACCCATATGAAACGAGTGTAATCGTCGACTCTGACTAGAATGTACTTCTTATGATGTAGGCTTGCCACCGTCGAGGGACCGTAGAGGTCAATATGAAGCAACTACAAAGGTTCAGTGATTGAAGAATCGAGTATCAAAGGATGACTTCCCTTGGTCTGCTTTCCACATTTACAAGCAGCGTATAAAGTGTCATTGTCAAGTTTGAGAAGAAGCAATCCTCGAACCATATCTCCGATAACCAAGTTGTTGATGTATCGAAAATTAAGGTGAGCAAGCTTCATGTGTCATAGGCAGCAGACCACGTAGACGGCTTTTGACAGAAAACGTAGTTGTGATTTACCGATGACTAGAGATATATCTAATGGGAAAATTGTTCCAGTAGTCTTTAATTTGATTAGACACCGTGATCTATTTTTCTTCATTATGTAGCTGTATTCGTCATCAAATTCAGCGCGATGACCAGCTCTGCAGAGTTGCCCAATACTGATGAGATTGTGTTTTAACCCTTCGACATAGGCAACTCTTTGAATTGAGAAGTTTCCATTTGTTAGGACACCATATCCTTGAATGGTTCCATTTGCATCATTTCCAAAAGTTACTTGACCACCATTTATGACTGACTTAAAGTCACGAAGGTATTTCAACGTTCCTCTCATGTGCAAGGAGCAAGCTCTATCTATCAACCATTCTGTTTTGTGATCCTCCTTGCACATGGCCTGCATTATCGGTTAGTTAATTTGGGCACCCAAATTTGTTTGGGGCCTGCAACACCCAAATTTGTTTGGGCCCTGCAACACCATTATCAGTTAGTTAACAGGTGGATAAGCACTAATGGTTAATTTCTTTTCATTTATCCAAATTGTTTGTCTGGGTTATGATTTAAGAACATAAACCATTTGTTTGGCGAGATTCAGTTTTATTTCGGCATTTTCTTTCTCCTTTTGATTGATAACGGGAGTGTTATCAACCATTAATCCCTTGAGTTTTTGGTCAGGCTTTTTGTACAGGACAATCTTGGGATTTTTAGTCCTTTTGCAACTTTGAGACCTTTTGGGACTTGTGATTTTTTTGTTCCTTATTTAACTTCTGTGTAGAATTGGATTTGGTTCTGTTAGAAGGTTGTAGCAAAGATTTATTTTGAAAAGATTTGTCCGGTTTAGGTCTTTGGGTTTTAAAGAGTCTGGACTTTGTTATGGGTCTAGGATAGGAATCATCGGAGCTGTAGAGTTCTTGACAATTTGAGCATTGTCAAGTCTCGAATTTGTCTGTTCTTACTCCTTGGCGAAGAGTTTTTATTTTAGTGATGGATTTAACAGAAGTCTGCGGTGAGGCTTGTGTTGAGTTAGATATCTGTTGGATTAAGTGTCTAAGACATAACTATATTTGGTATGTACTTGACCCGGTTGTAGCATGGTCCTTTTGGGTTGCCTTCACCAAAGCAACTTGACCGGAAGAATAATGGAGAAAGAGTTTATTATGGTTTATTAATATATTATGAAAAATAATATATTAAAGGAGAAATCATATTGTTTAATTAATATTCATCAAGAATTAATTTAGAATTAATTTGGTGTTCAAAAGAGATTAATTAAATTAAAGGGATTGATATTGTAATTATTGGATAATTGCAAAGTGGGCTGAGGAAACCCTAAAGATAGGGAGTGGAAGAAATCCTTATGGATAGCCCATAAGATTTCGTCCAAGGAGGGATTCTGGAAGATTCTTATTGGCTGCTTAGAGACTAAGCAACCGGATAAGTGTTTAACTGAAACCGTAATTCCTCACCTATATAAAGAGCCCCTTGACATTCAATTTTCGGCTACACTAACCCTGGAAGAGTTCTAAGAGCTGAAAATACCTTCCCCTCACTCTGTCTAATATTCTCCAAATTGCTTTGGTGTTTGTAATCTATCAGAGGCACAACATTTGTAGTGCTAAGGTTCTCAAAAGCTCAAGATCTTCAAGCTACAATCAAAGGTAACTTTCTAACTTGTTTATTAGATATTGTTTTTCGATTTTATCGTATGCTAGACTAGGGTTTGCAAGTATTGGACAATTATTGCATGTACAAATAGAAAAACTAGATCCCAACATTAGGGTTTGCATGAACACCAAAGGAATGTTGTTTTGCTCATAACCCAACAGTGGTATTAGAGCCTAGATCGTTTCTCTTTTTTATTTGATGTATAGCTAATTTGTTCAAGCTCAAAAGTCGAAAAATCAAGCCTTCGCTGATGGACTCGTCGAGTCACCATATGAACTCGACGAGTCCAGTTCTGTGACTCGACGAGTCGACTCGTCTAGTGGCTGATTTTTTGGGATTTTGACTAAAATTGAATTGGGATAATTACCAAAAACGATTTTGACTGATAAAACTCGATTTTTTCAATATAGTATTGATTATCCTAATTCAATTCAAGGATAATTGTCATAAATAAGATAATTACTTGTTTTATAAGATAAAATTGATTATTTGTATTTTTGATTTGAATTATCTTGTAAAGAAAATAGAGTAGATCAATTTATGTGATAAATATTAAATAATATGATTAATTAATAATTTTTCAAATTTGATCTAAAAGATTTTTTGAAAAGTTTCAAAACTTTCCCTCAAGTTTTGGAATTTAAATTTTTGATTAATAGTTTTAATTTTGATTTTTTTTTTAAATTTTAAACCCTAGAGTTTTAAAAGTTAAAATTCAACCCTTATA